TCAATGCAGCGGGGTCTCCATATGGACCTGTCCCCTCCCATTCTCTTCCTCCTGAGAATAACAACCCCCCCTCCACCCAGCAACACATTGACATATATTTCATCACAATGTTAAAGACAAGACGGACAAGAGAGTGAATCAAACTGTCTCTGTCTGTCTGTCTGTCTCCTCAGGAGGAGGTGCAGCAGGAGCAGGAGAGACTGAAGGAGGAGCAGAGCAGCATCCAGAAACGTAGTGAACATCTTCTGTCCATCATGCAGCAGTTCAAAGGGATGTGAGACAGACAGACAGACAGAGAGACAGACACAGAGAGACAGATGTGGATGATAAACCTTCAATAAATAACCATTAAAGTTTGAAAGTTAAAAAGTTTCTGATCATCGTTACAAACCGTTCACGACATTGAGCCACGCAGAGCGATGAGAGAATCCGATGGAGTTTCCTCCCAGACACGTGTACTCGCCGGCGTCCTCCAGAGACACGTTCCTCAGGGTCAGGACATCCGTCTCTTTATCTGTGGTGTTCAAACTGACAGTCTGAGGACGAGAGCAACGCCACGTTAGAGAGGGGCCTCTCAATCACAACAACAACAAGACTCAGGGTGTTTGGAAAGTCCAAATCATCTCCTCCCCTAACCACTAAATCATCTCCTCCCCTAACCACTAAATCATCTCCTCCCCTAACCACTAAATCATCTCCTCTCCTCACCACTAGTCCTCGACCCCGATGGAATACGAGGTCAAGCAAAGTGAGATGTAACAAACTTCCACTTCAAAAACAAATGCTTGATTGACAGTACAGATATTTACAGGTTTGAGCTCAGATGTAACAGGTCTGATGATTTCACTCTGGCCTCAGTGAAGCGGCTCCCTCACCTTGAGGATCAGGACGTAGGGGTGTCCGTCCGGTCCCTCCTTGCTGCCATTGACGATGATGTGTTTGAGCCACTGGATGTGAGGCTGCGGGTCGCTGAACACCCGACACACAAACTCCACGTCAGTACCAACGACCACCGTCTGGTTAGCGGGCAGACCGGCCTGCAGCATCGGTCTGTGAGGACACCGCTCTGGAAAAGACGAGACAGAGGACATCCTCACATCTGTTTCTCTCAGGAGACGTTTTCAGACCTGCACTGAAGTCTGGACATTTTCCTGAAATGTTCTGGAGGTTCTGTACGTGAGAACGCCAGCTCCATCATAAAACATCTGGAACCTTCTCAGTGAGTGGGCGTGTCTCTGAGGTTTCTAACACGTGACGGACGTGAAACTGAAGAACWCAAATGTCTCAGGATGAAGAAGAGGAGYCGTACACGTAGAAGACGAAGACGTCAACTTGGAAAGACGAGGAGGTTCCAGATGTTTTGGTGATGAGGCCGATGCCGTGTGGACGAGCTGTAAACAACAACACTGATCTTTACACAGCGGAGTTTAGATGCCATGTCCCGCCTCCTGCTGCTCTACAGGCTCCGCCCCTCGCCTGAATGTCCCCCACGTGTTCCTGTTGTTGTGAACGAGTCGTGAAACACTGACTACACAACATGTTACACAGTTCATGTGTGAAAACGTCTCAGGATGAGAACATGTCCGACAGTTAACACGTCATCATCGTGATCTTACCGAGTACGTCCAGCAGGTACGTGTGTCTCAGGCTCCCGTGCTCGTTCTCCACCACACACGTGTAGTTCCCTTTGTCTGACGGAACCACTGACTCCATGATCAGAGTCCACATGTGGTCTCTGATCTGACAGAGACAAACACATCAATTCTAACAACTGTTTACCAGACTTGGTTTTTTTCTCTGATCGGTCGAAYACGAACCTTGAAGCCTCCGATCCTCTGGTCCTTCCTGAACTCTTTTCCGTTCTTGTACCAGTGCAGAGAGGGAACAGGGTTTCCCGTCGCCTGGCACCTAAACTTCACAGTCCGACTGGCGGGAACGGCGTGGAGCTGCTTCTCCATCTTCTCCGGCGTCACCCACTGAGGCGCCAACGCTAACGAGGAGACACCAGCACGATTACAACCCTCAGCGGTTTGATTTCAGAGGATAAAGTTTCGTCTGAACGAGGTGGAGRATTAGAAACAGGTTTTGTTTATGAACGCAGACGACAGCAGAGAGTTTGAATGTGACGCTGACTGAGAGGAAAAAATGAATTTACAGGCTCAAAAAAACAACACACAGCTGGAGTCCAGATGTTTGGAAGAAAAACGACCSTCACAGAAGGTAGATTCAGTTTGTGAACATTCACACAAACTCAGAGAAAAGAGATTTCTGCAGATCTAATCTCACACACACACACACACTGAGCTGCAGTGACACACTCTGTTTTTATTCATGTTTGAAACGATCACTTCTTTACTGGAAAATCACAGATCTGCACCTTCATTGTAATTTTAAAGACATCATCAGTTTTGATTTATAAAAAACTCCCAGCTCTAGATTTTCCTGAGGTTGATGAGATCAACAGGATTCAGGACGTTACCTGTGTCCGTGTCCTCGGTGGCCGGTCTGCACCGAGCGAGAGGAAGCTGGACCAGGACCAGCAGGACGCAGGACAGCAGCAGGAAGCAGCAAGGGGACGCCATCGTGTCCTCAGACGTCAACTCCCTGAGACACAGAGACAGAACTAGAAGATTAGATCCACGACCACAAGATCATCATCACAATCATTTCTTTTACGTTTCTGAACCTTCAAAGCAGCTGGAGGTTTCTCATCCTTTTACAGACGTTGGCCAACAACTAAAGATTCTTTTTAGAAACGATTCATTACATCGTCTCATAATGTCAAAAACTTTAAATGTCTCCAATGAACTGAGCTCCATCATTAGAAACTCCCAGAGGAGTTTAAACTTCACTTCTGTGGGTCGAACAAATTCTCCAAAACCCAAACACAACAAAAAGCCACAAACACAAACATCGACCAGGTGTGTGTGGGCGGAGACTTTCCTACCACAGCTACACTCCTGCACAGACTCTGACTGCAAATGACGTCAAAAGTGCAAGACAGCAGCGTCCATGTGTTTTCTCCGAGGAAGTGGAGACGCATCGTCCATCTTTGTTTAAACTTTGGGTTGAAGAGYCTCACAACACATTCACAGAATTCAGTCATTACTTCACCTCATTAGACTTTTTCCAAACTGTGAAATATAAAAGCCGTCTGTTCAAACTCTCCGCAAAACAATCTGGTCTCTTCAAACCCTCGAATCCTCCACGAGACTCTGTGTTCCTCAGCTTTTAATAAGTGACTTCTGTCCCCGGCCTCCTCCCTCTCTGTTCCACTTCCCCTGCTGAAGCTTTCACCTACACACCACATTCTGCAGCCGGCTGGCAGCTCGGAATACTTGTCATACTAACACACCARCTGCTGATGCCACCCGTCCATCGGAGCTGGAAAAACAACAAGCAGCCAAACAGGAAGAGAAGAGCTGCTGCCGAGGCAGGAGAAGGTTCAACCTCTGAGCCGTGAGGAGGAAGAGGAGCAGCATTTCACAGGAGCAGAAYTAAACCTTCTCAGAGGATCTGTGGAGGACGTGTTGTTGGTGTGGAGGAGCTGCAGGACGAGTGGAGAAGTGMCTCACTCCCCGTGCACGCTCCACATAACTCAGGCCTTCAACGTGACAGAAGTGTTATTAACTGAGCTGCTGCACCAGAGAGTGAACAAAGTAAAACCCACTGAGCCTCAGAGACAAGATGGAGACGTTCATGATTTGATAATAAAAGACAAATATCATATTTAACTAAGGAGGAAGTATTCTGATCATTTACTTCAGGACACAAAGTACTTTTACTGCATTWAAGTAAAGTTTTAGTTAAGTTACTCTACTTGGTAGTAAYAATAAAAAAGATTTGGCTAACTTTTGCTAATGCAGGACTTTGAGTATTTTCACTGTAGTAAAGTAACTTTTCCTTCAGTAGAGGATGTGAATGGATGAATGTTCCACTCACTCTGCAGTCTTCTGTATTTTCATGTATAATAAACACATGAGATCCAGAAACAGCAGTAAAACGCTGTGAAACAGGATCCTGTCAGAATAAAGGTTGAACATGTTTAGATTTAAACCTGGAGTCCTGCTGCTCTCTGGAGATGTTACAGAGCTGAAGAGGTTTAAAGGTGAAGCTTCTCACCTGAGGCAGCTGCTC